CCTTAGGTGTATGTGGCTGGCGCCTTAGCCACTTGAGCCACAGGTGCCGAGCCTTTCTGAATAATTTTCTTCCTGAAGTATATCTTTTAAAATTCCTTAGTACAGGTGATAAACTCAGTTTTTGTTTATCTGAAAATGTCTTTATTTCTCCCTCTTTGTTCATAGACACACACAACTGTAGCTTAGTAAGTATTTTGTCTTGGCACTGTTCTAGAAAATTTTCCACTTTTCAGGTTTCCATTGTTGCCAAGTAGTTTTCTGTCAGTTGTTTCTTTATAGTCTGTCTGCTCTGTGCTGTTTCTCAGAGGGTAAGAAGTAGGATGTAAAAGGCTGCCCTCTGCTTTTGGACTCTCCTAGACGGGAGAGGTTGAAGTACTGCCAGGAGACCAGGTGTGGGAGAGATATCGCCAGCAGCGTTAAGTACTTGGTCACTTTCCTCATTCATTTTTCCTCGGGCCGCTCAGAATACTGACAGCTAGATTGAGAGGGACTGGATACTCAATGACTGCTCTGATCTGGTGTCCAGGTGATGGGAAAGACTCTTCAAGGAATGTAGTGAAGCTGTGAATCCAAGAACCAGAGTTAAACCTGCTGCTGTTTCCAGACTGGTAACTCCTCCCCAGCAGTTCAGAGCCTTTTATAGCTTTCTTTTGTCAAACTGTCCTAAAAGGCTAAGATGAGGAGAGAGCGGTTGAGTCAACTGTAACTCTTCCTTGTTAATACAAAGGAGAAAGGAATTAACTTTTACATAAAGTTTTTTTTGCTTTGCAGAATGCATCCTGTCTTGTTCTTGCTGCCCGGCATGCCAGTGCTTCTTCTACGGTAAGGTCTAGAAAAGAAGACAGAATTATTGGACAGCCTGACTCTGGGGCAGAGGGTTTGGTGACCACCTTTTTCTCTTACTACATGGATCACTATAAAGGTTTTGAGACACACTGTGTTATGGTCTATTATTTTACTTCCAAGAAATAGAATCGACACTGTCCTTTCTGATTCACCTGTGTAAGTGTCAACTTGGCTCAGCTTATTGGTTTTGCTGGGAGGGTTTCATTTCTTTCTGTCAGTGTGGATTTCATTTCGCTCTTTTTTTTTTTTGCAGTTTTTGGCTGGGGCTGGGTTTGTACCCGCCACCTCCAGCATATGGGGTTGAGGCCCTACTCCTTTGAGCCACAGGTGCCATCTGATTTCATCTCTCTTGATATTTGTGTATCTCAAAGCTTTCACAACTATTATTACTACTATAGTACTATTATATATGTATATATATATATTTTTTTGAGACAGAGTAGAGTGCTGTAATGTCATAGCTCATGGCAACTTCAAATTCTTGGGCTCAAGTGATCCTCCTACTTCAGCCTCCCGAGTATCTGGGACTACAGGTGTCCACCATAATGCCCGGCTATTTTTAGAAATAGGGTCTCTCTTGACTCAGGCTAGTCTTGAACCTGTGAGCTCAGGCAATCCAACCACCTTAGCCCCCCAGAGTGCTGGGATTAAAGGTATGAGCCACTGTGCCTGGCCATTTCTATGGTAGGTTTTTTTTTTTTTTTTTTTTTGAGACAGAGCCTCAAGCTGTCCCCCTGGGTAGAGTGAGTGCTGTGGCATCACAGCTCACAGCAACCTCCAACTCCTGGGCTCAAGCGATTCTCCTGCCTTCAGCCTTCCAAGTCTGGGACTACAGGTGCCCACCACAACACCCAGCTATTTTTTGGTTGCAGTTATCATTGTTGTTTGGCGGGCCCAGGCTGGACTTGAACCTGCCAGCTCAGGTGTATGTGGCTCGTGCCTTAGCCGCTTGAGCCACAGGTGCCGAGCCTCTATGTTAGTATTTTAAGAAATTATTTAGGTAGTGGCTATGCTCAGGGGGTAAAGTGCCAGCCACATACACCGAGGCTAGTGTGTTCAAATCCAGCCCAGGCCAGCTAAAACAGTGACAACTGCGACGAGAACAACAAAATTAGCTGGGAGTTGTGGTGGGTGCCTCTAGTCCCAGTTACATGGGAGGCTGAGGAAAGAGAATCGTATAAACCTAAGAGTTTGAGTTGTTGAGAGCTATGATGCCACAGTGCTCTATCCAAGGCAACAGCTTAAGACTATCTCAAAAAAAAAAAAAAAGAAAGAAAAATAATTTACTTGGCTGGGCTCAGTAACTGCCTGTAATAATAGCACTCTGGGAGGCTGAGGTGGGCGGATCTCTTGAGCTCAGGAGTTCAAGACCAGTCCAAGCAAAGTGAGGCCCCATCTCTACTGCAGATAGAAAAGTTAGCTGCTGCTCAGTGCCTTTAGCTCAATTGGCTAAGGCGCCAGCCATATACACCCAAGCTGGCAGGTTTGAATCCAGTCCAGGCCTGTCAAACAGCAATGACAACTACAACCAAAAAATAACTGGGTGTTGTGGTGGGCGCCTGTAGTCCCAGCTACTTGGGAGGCTAAGGCAAGAGAATCACTTAAGCCCAGGAGTTAAAGGTTCCTGTGAGCTGTGATGCCATGGCACTCTACCCAGGGTGACAGCTTGAGGCTCTGTTTTAAAAAGAAAGAAAAATTATGTGGGCGTTGTGGATACCTCTAGTTTCAGCTGCTTGGGAGGCTGAGGCAGGAAGATCCCTTGAACCCAGGAGTTTGATGTTGTTGCAAGCTAGGCTGATGCCATGTGGGCAACCGAGTAAGACTTTTGTCTCCAAGAAAAAAAGAAAGAGAAATTTACTTAACTTGTATAGTGAGGCAGGAATATTAGATACATTTTTTTTTTAATTTTTGAGACAGAGTCTTACTATATTGCCCTTGGTAGAGTACTGTGGCATCACAGCTCAGAGCAACCTCAAACTCTTGGGCTTAAGCAATTCTCTTGCCTCAGCCTCCCAAGTAGCTGGGACTATAGGCGCCTGCCAGAATGCCCGGCTTTTCTTTTTTTATTTTGAAACAGAGTCTCATTTTATTGCCCTCAGTAGAGTGCTGTAGTGTCACAGCTCACAGCAACCTCCAGCTCCTGGGCTTAGGCCAGTGGTTCTCAACCTTCTGAATGCTGTGGGCTTTTCCTTTGGATCATGACCCACAGGTTGAAAACTGCTGGCTTAGGCGATTCTCTTGCCTCAGCCTTCCAAGTAGCTGGGACTACAGCTGCCCACTACAACACCAGGCTATGTTTTTGTTACAGTTTGGGAGGGGCTGGATTCAAACCTGAGGGCACTGTCCTACCCACTGAGCCACAGGTGCTGCCCCCGGCTGTTTTTTTGTTGCAGTTGTCATTGTTTAGCTGGCCCAGGCTGGGTTTTAACTCACCAGCCTCAGTGTATGTGGCTGGCTCCATAACCACTGTGCTATGGGCACCGAGCATTCTTTTTACGATTGTTGGTGAATCATTGAGGGTACAAAGAACCCCAGGTTACATGCTTTCATATAAGGTAAAGTCCCACTTATAATTGTGTTCTCTCTCCCAAGAGGTGTGTGTTTTTGTTTTGGGGGGTTTTTGTTGTTGTTGTTTAGCGGGCTTGGGCCAAGATTGAACCCACCAGTCATGGAGCATGTGGCTGGCACCCTAATCAATAAGCTATAGTATAGCTGCAGGCACTCAGTTTTTTTTTTTTTTTTTTTTTTGAGACAGAGTATCTCTTTGTCACCCTGGTAGAGTGCCTTGGCATCATAGCTCACAGCAACCTCAGACTCTTGGGGCTCAAGTGATTCTCTTGCCTCAGCCTCCCACCTCAGCCTCCCAGAATGCTGGGATTACAGGCGTGAGTCACTGCGCCTGGCCACCTTATTTAAATTTTTTAAAAATTAGGCAGAAGTACCTGATAGGCCATGGTGGGCGGTCGTTTAGACCAGCCTGAGCAAGAGGGAGACCCTGTCTCTAAAAATAGCCAGGTTAGTTATGGCAGGTGTCTGTGGTCCCAGCTAATTGGGAGGCTGAGCCAAGAGAATTGCTTAAGCTCAAGAGTCTGAGGTTGCTGTAAGCTATGACACCGTGGCACTCTACCAAGGACAGCAAAGTGAGACTTGTCTCAAAAAAAAAAAAAAAACTTTAAACATTTTAGATTGTGGTTAAATACATACAATATACAGTTTACCTTTTTTTTTTTTTAGAGACAGAGTCTCACTTTGTCACCCTCAGTAGAGTGCCATGATGTCATAGTTCACAGCAATCTCTAGCTCTTGGGCTTAGGCGTTTCTCTTGCCTCAGCCTCCCAAGTAACTGGGACTACAGGCACCTGCCACAATGCTCGGCTATTTTTTGTTGCAGTTTGGCCAGGGCCGGGTTTGAACCCTTAACCCTCAGTATATGGGACCCATGCCCTACTCACTGAGCCACAGGCGCCACCTACAGTTTGCCATTTTAATTTTCTTTTTGCAGTTTTTGGCCGGGGCTGGGTTTGAACCCGCCACCTCCAGCATTTAGAGATAGAGTCTCACTTTATCTCTCTCTATAGTGTGCTGTGGTATCACAGCTCACAGCAATCTCCAACTCCGGGGCTTAGGCAATTCTCTTGCCTCAGCCTCCTGAATAGTTGGGACTACAGGCACCTGCCACAATGCTCAGCTATTTTTTGTTGCAATTTGGCCAGGGCCGGGTTTAAACCCGTCACCCTAGGTATATGGGGCCAGCACCCTACCCACTGAGCCACAGGTGCCGTCCTCCACAATTTTTTCATCTTCCCAGATTAAAACTGTACCCATTAAACAGTCTTCATTTCCTCCTGCCCCTAATTCTTTTATCCTCATTTACATTTAATAGTTGGTCAGACTTCCCTGGTAGACATAGAAAGTCAAATTTTTTTTTTTTAATTTTTTTTTTTTTTTTTTGAGACAGAGCCTCAAGCTGTCCCCCTGGGCAGAGTGCCGTGGCATTATAGCTCACAGCAACCTCCAACTCCTGGGCTC